TTTTTTTTTTTTTTTTTTTTGCATGATCCGGTTCCATTTTTATCATGTATAAACATTCTCGAGAAATCATCCCATCCCTGGAAATCCCAGGTCCCAACTTTTGTAAAAAAACATTTTTTTTTTTTTTAAAGTTCAGCTTAATCCAAGTTTGTCATAAATTGTACCTATAACCCATGACCTGTAAAATTGGATTTGTGACCCATGGCTTGTAAAATTGTGCCTGTGACCCATGGCTTGTAAAATTGTGCCTGTGACCCATGGTCTGTTATAGTGTACCTATGACCTGTAAAATTGTACCTGTGACCCATGACATGTAAAATTGTATCTCTGACCCATGACCTGTAAAATTGTACCTGTGACTCATGGCCTGTAAAATTGTACCTATGACCCATGACCTGTAAAATTGTACCTATAACCTATGACCTGTCAAATTGTACCTATGACCCATGAACTGTCAAATTGTACCTATAAGCTACGACCTGTAAAATTGTGCCTATGACCTGTAAAATTGTACCTATGGCCCATGAACTGTCAAATTGTACCTATAATCTACGACCTGTAAAATTGTACCTATGACCCATGACCTGTCAAATTGTACCTATAATCTACGACCTGTAAAATTGTGCCTATGACCTGTAAAATTGTACCTATGGCCCATGAACTGTCAAATTGTACCTATGACCTATGACCTGTCAAATTGTACCTATAACCTATGACCTGTCAAATTGTACCTATGACCCATGACCTGTCAAATTGTACCTATAATCTACGACCTGTAAAATTGTGCCTATGACCTGTAAAATTGTACCTATGGCCCATGACCTGTAAAGCTGAGTTAAACGTGCTGCGTTGTTTAGCTCAGTAACTCTACTACACAAGCTTTGAGGTCGAGACCTTGTTTAAATAGAAGAGATTGTGACCCACGACCAACGATTCGTTGGAAAACAAAAATATTTTAAATAGGAACGATTCGGATAAATTAAAAAATACATTAACATGAATTTGTGTGTGTGTGTTTTTTGTGTATACAATTTTATTTTATGCCCAATATTAAATGCCATGATTGAAATTATACACCAAACTCATAAAGACATCGATTAGAAAGAAAACAGTTTAAATATTCCTTTAAAAAATCTCTTAGTTAATCGTTTCAGCCTGGGGCCACACCGAGTTTACGTCTCATTTGGCTGAGAACCCATGTTCAAGTAACGTTATTATGTTCAGGCTGTTCGTGTGCTGAGCTAAACTACCCTGTTTTTAGCACGTGTTTTTTTTTTGTTTTTTTTTTAAAATCCTTTATATTACTTTCGCTTTAGTGTGATAAGGGCAAAATCTTCGAACGGCTAATTGACCCACTTCCGGTCAACCCTTCGAGCTGAATCTTGGCTCATAGATTCATTGCCGATGAATACACATTCAATCAAATTTTCAGCCCCCAAACCCCCAAAAATCAGTGGGGGGGGGGTAGTTTCATGTTTTTCAAGGCGAAGATAACGAAATATGATGACACTGATTTCATAGACATATATTACACATGTGTTTTAACAATTTCAATGGTTCTTCGAAACGGACCACTTGCTAGTAACATTTTTTTGGAAATATTTCGGGATGGATTAGAAACTAAAATGTGTGACCTTTTGCGGATGCACAACTCAAATAAACTTTACCGTCAACCGGCGGTCATATCCGAGATTTGCTTATCACGCATAATGTTAGTTTTGGTATCTATTACTATGGCTTACGAGAGAATATGAATCAACACTAAAAGAATAGTCAGAGGCGTAGCGTGGTGGGGGCAGGGGGGGACAGATGTCCCCGGGCGCCAGCTAGTTAGGGGCGCCAAAATGTGCTTTGATATTATTATATTGATGAAAATAATGGGTTTGAGAGTTGAAAAAAAGAAAAAAGGGGCGCTAAAAATGGATCTTGTCCCCGGGCGCGAATATTGTCCCCGGGCGCCAAACACCCTCGCTACTGAGAATAGTATCAATTTCCCAACCTCTCAGCTTACCTTAACATCATTTTTCCTTCATCAAAAGACATTATAATTTTTTTATTTAAAAAAACAACAAAATACCTAAGCGGTTTTTAAAACCATTCTTTCACATTCATAGATAAATAAATTCAGTTATATCGTATTTTATTTAGACTTAACTTCATCCAGGGGAAATGATAAATCCCCTAATGCAAGAAAAAAAAAAAGAAAGAAAAAAAAACTAATGCAAGATTAAATTGACTGGTGGTTGATCGAATGACTCACGGCTGCTTGCATACGCATGGCAATCAGCTCCCCGAACCGCATACCTGCCACCCACACATCTCTATACCCAGACATCATCTGGACTCACAGACATTCATCAAACCACTCCACACACACACACACACACACAGACACACACACACACACACACAGACTGACACACACACACATTCACACACACCATTAAACCCAAACATCGTTCCCAACCCACCCCAACACTCAGGAGATAATTTGTTTCACATTTGTTAAAATGCGATTTAAAAATTTCGAAGTGGCTATTTGGACCCGGGTCCGAGAAGTTAGAGGTTGGGATTAAAATACAAAAAAAAAAAACTATCATTGTTCGGTTGTAAGACAAAATTTGGAATCAAATGAAAGATAATTTAATGGGCTATTTTTTTGTAAACTTATTTCTTCAGTTACACTAAAATAAACTACCACAAATGACATCCGAATAGCATTGGGTCTAAAGGGACCCGGGTCCGAATAGCGGCGATGCGTTTCTGGTTCCATTTTGACTAAATGCTATTCCCAAAGAAGTAAGTTGACAAACATACAGTCCATTCAATTATCTTTCATTTGATACCAAATTTTGTCTTACAAACCCTACAATATTTTTTTAAAAATTTTTTTAATAAACCCAAACTCTCAGTTCTCGAACCCGGGTCCGAATAGCCGCAGCCTTTAAATTTATAGTAAAAATTGGCTCACATTAGTTTAATAATATCAGTTGGTTATTGTTGAAGACGTTTGCTGTCATTTGATCTACATGGGTCGAGGTGGGGGGGGGGGGGGCGAATGATTTTAGGTTCAAGGGGAGATAACAACGAATATTTTAAATCCATTAATTCCCTTTGAAAATAAAAGAAATGTTTATT